AAATATTGATAAAATATGCATCAAACTGGTTTTGCTGTAGTTCTTGTACAAGATTTAAATTTGAAAGAATTTCTCAATTTTTAAATTAATAAAAAGTGGTTAAATGTTGTAATAACATGATAAAACCTGTTAACATTAAAAATTTGCACATTCACTCAAAAGATACGTTACTCATTAATAAATAAACTTAAGTCAAAATAATTTTGTAAATTACTTTTTATTGTAAATTCAATTTTTTCATCTTTGACCTAGGAATGCAGCTGCTCAAAACGTCAGTATTTTTTGAAAATATTTCATGAGTATTTTAGCCCTTGCACATGTGCAAATCTGCAAAACAAATATAAAGAAAAGAAATAAAAAAATAGGACTTTCTATTTGCTTTTAAACTGTAAGCTCTTTTTACTAAGCTGTTTTTCCAATTTTTCAAGTTCTACATTTTCTCCTTCGCTCCACGTTGCAGTAAGTTTTGGGAGTTCATTTTTAGTCCATCCATCATCCTGAAAAGTCTGTCTTGCAGAGACTGACAAAAATGAGCTCCTAAAACTTACTGCCAGATAATTGATTCGTTCGAACGGCTGATTCATTCAGGAATGAAGCAAGTGACTGTCTTTATGAATGGGTAATCATGAATCACTGACTCACTAGATTTGTTTAAAAACGCACTTTCACTAAATGAATGAAACTCAGCTGTGTTTGTTTTTAGAGATGCGAAGTGGCTGAGCTGTTACTAAATTTGGAACTATTTTCGTTAAAGAAAGAGCAAAATCAGGCAGTACTTGTTTACTGAAATGTTGTATTGAATCAATATCACATTGGCAAACTCCCTTAATTATTAAAAGCTGTCACTCTCCTTATCGCGATCTGTGGGCGCACAGAAAATGAGAGCGCGCGAGTGAGTTCTCAAGACTCAAAAGCACGTGCAAATGATACGTTCCGTCATCTGTCATCGTGTTACAAGACCGGAACCTGCGGGAATGAGTACAATTGTTATTAATAGCCTCAATCCCGCGCCGAAATTCAAGTCCTGCTCTGTATTTTTCCAATTGATGGAAATCCATCGTAGCAACGGAATATTTTAATCCCTGCATAAACAATTTATTTCAAATTTAATTCAAGCACTTTCAAGGACCTATGTTTGTTTTCAAGTACTTTCCAGGCCTTGAATCCATATGTCTGAAATTCAAGTACTTTCAAGAAGCGTGGGAACCCTGAATAATTCAGTGTCAACATGCATTTAATCAATTTCTGGCATTCAATAATCATCAAAATGCACCAGTAATGCAAACTAATCTCTACACAAATCTTTTTTTAATTATTATTAAATATTTATTATTTGTACTTTTTTAATGCATCATTTTATAATATTTCCAAGGCTGTGATATTATATTTAAAGTTAAATGCACAGTTTTCTGTGATTAATCATATTTAACATTATTAATTGCAATTAATTAGTGTGAGCATATGCTAGCCATAGGAAGTGAGCAAAAACATTAGTGCAGCCTCAGAAGTGGTGGGCAGGAGGGAACAAAAAGACAAAACAACAGATGTTACATTAAATGATTCACACTTATCACAGAAATCAATCCGTTTTTTTTTTTAAGTTTCACAATATATATTCTATACTAGGAAATTCTAGGAACTGACCTTAGCTTTTGCAGGCAGGGTTTTGATCTCCTGGATGAGGAACGTGTCTGGTTTTACCATGATGACCAGCGGGATTCCAGTGGTCTGCTGGACACAGCACACCAAGCCTGGGTGGTTCATGACTTCTGACCACTGACAGAGAGCTGGAGACGTCTTACTACCTCCATTAGATCTGCATGTGCAAGAGAACAAACATTAGAGAAAAACTAAACACTTGAGAGAAAGAGTGCTACAATCTAATTTTAAGATTGAATTTTCTGTACAAATTTAGAAGGGGAATCCTACCCTTTGACATTGATGGTAAAGATTCTCCGTGTTTCCATGTTGCTGCAGCTCACTGTGGCAGCGAATGACTTGCCCTGACTGTAGCTGAAGAAGAGCATCTGCAGAACGTGGGAGTAATACACAGAGACTCCGCCTCCAGCCACCTGGCCATTACTATCCTGCGAAGCAAACACACAACAAACTCAGCATGCGGTCACACTCAACGCATTCTGAATCCACTTGGTTAACTTATTGCAGTCTATCTGACTATATAGGAAAATATAACATTGTAAAACCTTCAGATCCTCGTGGCTGATCTCCAAAACATTGGTGACGTAGAAAGGGCCGTGCTGGGCACTGCTGGACTCATCCATCACCTGAGTGTACATGTACCCCGCTGAGGACATGATCACGATGATGTTTTTGCCCTCCTCGTTGAACAGGAATGTGGCATCTCTGATCTTTGAACTTGGTAGCAGGAAGTAGTACATGGGGCTTAGGGCATCCACAGATAAGTCATAAATCTGCAAAAAATAGTGATTTAAGGGACATTACTTTTGATAGAACTGATGACACATGACTATATAGGCAAATTTGTGTCACTTTTGAGGATAAAGATTTGTTTTTTTGGCATTTTGCCTTTATTAAAATAGGGTAGTTTAGACTAGACAGGAAGTGAAGTGGGAGAGAGAGAAGGGGGTGGGATCGGGAAAGGTCCTCAAGCCGGGATTCAAACTCAGGACGCCCGCAACGCTACGGCATTATATGTTGGCGCACTGCCAACAGAAAACTTAATGATAATGTTCTTACTATTTTTTCGACCAAATAAATGCAGCTTTGCTGAATAAGAGAGACTTCTTTAAAAAAAAAAAAATCACTAAGTCCAAACATATTTGTAATTTTTTTAATATATATTTTGTTTATTTTACAAACTATTTTTAAAAAAAATATATGACTAAATGTTTACAAGAAAACATGCATTATAAATTGTTCACACATTTTGAAACTGACAAACTAATTGGACGTTTATATGCACAGATGATTATTGGGCAAATTTTGGCCAGGCCAATATATATAAGCAGTTCCATAACAAGTACAATTACTCACCTTGACAAAATCAGCAGTGATGATAGCCAATTCAGTCTGTGATCCAGGAAGCCATATGGCCTTGATGATGAAGTTTCCAGTGGCAAGTTGAGGATGCAGGACTAAGTGATCTGAGACGGAGCCTGTGCTGCTGAATGTCAGAACGTGGCAGTCCTGTAGATGTGACACAGAGAAACAAGACTAAAGTCAGTGGAAACAAACCTGTGAAATAATTCCTAAATCTCCCTGTGAAATTATTCAGCGGAAACTCTGAAATAATTCCTTCATAGTTTTGTCAGCGGTTGTTACCTTGAGTCCACACACTGCCAGATAGTCCTCATTACAGGGGTTTCCTGTGAGACTAAGCACTGTGAAGGGGACTGGAGCGGAAGCCAGGCGAGTCAGAGTCAGTTTCCTCTTACTGGAGTCAGCCTGCTTCAAGAGCGCAGACAACTGCAGAACTGTGATCTGCAAAAAATATAGCCAGCCTCCATGTAGTCACAATTAAACATGAAGTAGCGAAGACACAAACTCGTGTTCGGGATTTCTGGATTACCTTGCCCTTCTCATGGCTTACAGCGAGGTGTTGTCTGCGTCCGTGAGGGGACGACAGCACACACATGGCCACCCGACGCAGCACATGGGCGCTGATGAGCTGACGGATGGTCTGTCCTTGATCTCCACTGTAGTTCATCCTGACGTTCTCAAAAGCGCCCTCTTGTGAGCCCAGTGTGGGAACCTGGAGGATAAAAACAAGTTTAGTGTCAAGTATCGATGTGTGTGTTAGAATTAGTCTTCAGGTGTTTGGTTCATACCATGAGCTGATCTGTCATCTCAACCGTCTTGTCTTGAGTGTGTAATTCATTGAGAGCGTGCTGAGCCCGGCTGCTGCTGCCCACCGCCGATGCCTGCTGGAAATTGGTCTGAATGGCATCCATTAGGAAAATGAGCAACTCCAGCACCAGGGCTGCTGTGGAGGAGCTCGCCTGCGAAAAATAATGATTGCAGTGAGACAGATGCACTTCTAATATCAAAACAGATTCAGAGAATGAAGAGCGAAGAAATTCTCATACCACTTGGATAAGCAGATCCTCTCTGCAGCCCTCGATGTTTTTACACACGCTGCTCTTCTTAGGTTTGTCTTGGTCACTGCTCTTGCCATCACAGATGGTGACTTTTCCCTTGTCCGCGGGTGAGGAGCTCTGGTGACGGATGGCGCTCTCTGGCATGCGCAGCTCGCTCTGGAACGCCAAGGACTCCTTCATGGTGGAGCTCATCCCACTGCTGGGACTTCTTTTCACTAGAGCCTGTAAAACAAGGATACAGACCCAAGATCAGTAATGTGGGATACATTTCATTACTCAGACTTAATTACAAAGGATGTTTATGCCAGGAGGGGGAACCACAGGGAAGAGGGGATCAAATTTGATTGTTACATGCTTTGTGTTTCCATCAAGGAGACATGCATGAGTGGATATGGCTTAAATGTTGAAATGATCAACTGAAAATCTTTTTAATTAGAAAATCAAGCGAAAATCTTAAGGAAATACTACAACTATAATGAAGATTAAAGGAACAGTTCACCCAAACATTACAATTGTTACATTATTTACTCAGCCTCATGCTGTTCCATACTTTTTCACAAACAAGGCATTAAATGAAACTAAAACTAAAAATGAAGTATTTAATTCAGTCTACTTTTTATAGAAGTGGTTTTATTTTTTAATTTGACTTTCTATGAGGGTTTGCAATTTTTGCAGCCATTTTACCAATCTAAATACAATTTGAAACCCAAATCGGCAATTTCACAATTTTCTGGAAATAAACATTGAATAAAACTTACATCATTTATAAATACATAAATAAACAAACAGACTAGCATTCAAAAGTTTAGAGTCAGTTAGGGCTGGGCGATTTAAAAGTTTTGCCACGATTTAATTTTTAGAAATCGAGGAATCGCGATTTTGAATAGAAATATTAGCAAATGTTAGAATTAGACACTCACTCAATATGCCAATGATAACAGTAAAGAGAAAAGAACGATCCAACCGCATGTCGGCGCACGTGATTAATCGCTCACGTGTGACGCGCTCATATCGCTTGGAGCCATTCATACAGAATGCACTTTTGTGTTGACAAAGATGCGACACGGCCAGTGGAATAGGAAAAACATGCAAGAAGATGGGAGTGAACTTCTTTTAACTTGAGCGCCGAGTTTTTAGAATGCCGTTTCATGCAAGAGACGTGAGCGCAACAGTCAAACACGTCCATGTTTACATAGAAAAAACTATGGAAAAGCAGCGCAAGCAAATAAAAAAAACCTGTAACTACTACTGTATGTCATATATTTTATGTTTGCATCATGGTGACAAGCCGAAAGCTGCTGTTGTTTTTACAGAATATTTATAGTTAATAATAGTCTACTGGTGTTATACCTTCAGTCATTCTGAAATTGAATTACGTTGACTTTTGAGATTTTTAAAGCATTTTCCTCGTAGGCCATTATTTCTTAGCATATATGTATAAGGTAAGTTTGTCCAAGATGTAGTTGTAGTTCATGCATCTTTTCTGCAAAGATATTTAACTAATGATTTATTTAACATTTACATCTTGTTGACAACATGTGTCGTGCACATGGAATAGAATTTTCTTGAATCATGAAATCTTGAATCATGTTGTAGTTACATTTTCAAGTTGACTAGTTAAAAATCGAGAATCGGTCAAATGTTCTGAAAAAAAAAAAGAAAGATTTTAATTTTTTGCCATACCGCCCAGCCCTAGACTCCGTAAGATTATATTTTTTAAGAAATTGATTTCTGAAGGATTTCAGGAGGATTATGCGACATTGAAGACTGCAGTTAAAAAGCATTAAATATCATATAGAGTCAAACCTTTAAACATTAGTATATATATTTGATAAGCTATCAAAAAAGGTTGCAAATTTAGTTGAAGTTAAACTTACTTAAGCCTATGCTACTTTTGGATCAAATGTTTGTTTGTAGTTTTTGAAAAAAAAGGGGGTTGTAACAGGGATGAACTGTTTACTTTTCTTCCATCCATGCAGTACAAAAGGACTGTAATGTGTTGAGTAAAATTTTAAGGAATTTGTTGTAATAATCTAAAATCATGCAATAACAGTTGCACACAAGAAGTTGTAGACTTAAATATTGCATTCTTGATCAGTAAATGAACTGAATATTAATTCAATAGAATCTGATATTATTTAATTGTTACAGCCTGTGTGATATAATGCTAGTCTTCATTCAGTAGTTCTTTGCACTACTTGTGTGTGTTTTTTTTTTTTTTGTCTTATGAAGTTTAACAGCCATTATTACTTTGGAAACAGCTGCACAACAACTCTTCCTGTGGGTCTGAAACAACTTTTTTGGGGGTGAACTATTACTTTAACAACAATGAAATGGACTGAATTCATCTGAAGTAATATACTACCAAACTGTAGAGAATAAACTTGCTTAATTATCAAAAAACCAAAAGATGAAATGTTGCAAACCCTGATGAATTGAGGGAGGTCTGAAATGAGCTAATGTCAGTCAATAATAAATGATTTGCAAGCCAAAGTTACCGCAGTTGCTCTTTTCCCATGATGACCTGAAGTATTCGGTCTCACCTGGCAGCTGCCATCCTCCTTGGCACCGCAGTCACAGAAGAAAGAGCCGTATTTGGCATAGGAGATCTCATGGTCTTTGTGACAGACCTTGGCACACACTGTGCACACACCTACCCCATCCACCATCTTACAGGTGTGACAGTGATACCTGTATGGGGAAGAGCAGGAGATTAAAGACCCACAGTACAGCTTCTGAACGCTTCTGTTGCATAGCAAAGGAATGCCGAGTCGATCCATTACCAGTGCTGGTTCATGAACTCCTTTTGTGTGATGGTGAAGGTGCATAGCTTATTGCAGAGTGAATCCTCATCCTAAAACACAAGAAACTCAGATATGATTGGAAAAACTGAAGCAATATTTAAATCTAAGGCACAGTGAGCAGACTGTCTCCTGACCGAATCTTCGGCCTGCGAGTCTTCCTCCTCTACGGCCAGCTCCTCCACCCAGTCAGAGTCAACTTCAATCGCCTTCTCCTCTCCCTCCATCAGAAGCTGGGATGAGCCCTGGCCACCGCTCTGCCTCAAAGCATTCATCACATCTGCCAGGTAGGAAATGATGTGGCAGGCACACTCCAGCATGCTGGCATGCTGCACACAAAAGAGTGTTCACTTATGGTCCGACACAAATATGTGCAAATGGTTACTATCAAAACGGACTTAACACCTACCTTGCCTTGTGACACATTGGCTGAAACTTTTTCCACAACATTCTTCTGATACAAGTATTTTTTACTGAAAGAAAAAGATGAAAAGGTCAGGTTTAGATTAAACTGGAGGTAAAAGACCCCATGAAATCAAGATAGAAATTTTGTGGCTTCAGTCTATGTGTGGTAGTTTTTAGGTCAAAACTTTTATATTCTTTGCCTTTTATTCTCTTCTAGGAAAAAATAGAAAGCACTCCCTTCTAGGGAACATGCACTTCAAAAGCGTGTTTGATAAAATGCTGACATTTAAATGCAAGTATATTTGTTAAATCTAAATTGTATCTTATACTGAAACACACCTTATACTTATTTATTTATTTACTATTATTATTATTATTATTATTTAAATGTAAAGTAAAATATTTTACATAATATACTCATTTTTTATAATATTAATATAACAATTTAAAATTAATATAATACCATTTTTAAAATATTCATTATTATTCTGTTTTTATATATACTTTGTTTTCAGAATTTTTAACATTTAAAATATATATCATTTCTAAATAATAGTTGTTATTATTATGATTATTATTATATTTGTTTAAATATATTTTATATTATTTTTTAAATATATATTCTTTAAAATGTATCATATTATTGTTATTATACAATAATTGTAATTATTATATATGTATTTGTAACTATTTTATTATAACTTATTATATGCCTTACGTATTATTATTATATATTTATGTATATGTATTTTTAATGTATAATGTATATACAAAATGTTTATTTTATTATTAAGCATTCATTCACTATTAATTTAAATATGTATCTATTAAAATATAAATTTTTAGATAATATTTCTATATATACATTTTTTTTTTTTTTATCCAAGTCACTTACCATCTCGTGAGCCAGTCAATGGCAGCACTGTGTAGCTGTAGATGTCCTGCTCCTTGTCCTGCACTGGCTAGAGTGGCCATGATGACCATGAGCTCAGGGAATCCCGCCCCACCCCCGCTGGCCAGCATCTCCGTTGCCATGGGAATGAGAGTGCTCAGAAGCACAGTGCAGACGCCCTCGCCCACCTGGCTGTTATCACGGACAATGTAGGAGGTGAGGAGTTGCAGTAGCTGCCTGTTCTCTTGCACTGTGTCCAGCTGGTCCGAATCTTTAGGAGGGGAGGCCGTCATGCGCCTCAGCCAGGCCTGCAGCCTCGTGGGCTCCACACAAGCCAGCTGGGCTAGTGAGCCGCACAGGCACAGAAGGCTGGGATTGGGGCTCTTTTCCGCTGAGGGATGAACATAGATGGGACGTGTGAGAGGGGAAAATCAAATGGCACATTTCTGGGAGACGTTGCATGGCTACTTACTGAGCTGGAATAGTTTGGTGAAGAATTTCAGAACCCGGTTACAAAACTTTGCAGATAGATTCTCATTGGCAGTGGCCATCATGATCTGCACCAATTCTCCGCTACAAGACAAGGGAGGAAAACGATGTATTAAATTGATGCAAAATGCTTCTATAGATTTCTAAAGAAATATCATTCAGCCAAGACCTACCTGAAGGAGAAGAACTCCTCCATTGCTTTGCGGACCTGACTGCTTTCCAGCTGTTTCTCGAAGTACTGTAGACACTCTTCAAGAATGGACTCATCCAGACCACTAATTGGAAACAGAACCATATTAATCTAGATTCCTTCAGATTGCAGTTCAGGAGTCTGCTTAAAAGTCATATGGTCATCTGGGGTCCCACCTGTTGGGGTCAGAGTGATTGGCGATGATGTTGTAGCAGCCTGTGATGAGGCGCTCGTAGACGAGAGCCAGGAAAGCGTCTGATTCAGCAGGGCCCAGGATCCTCTCCAGCGAAGTGCTGCAGATCTCCGCCACGCTCTCTGTGCTGCTCTCCAGCAGGAGAGGCAGCAGCGTGCGGATCATCTGTGGACTGTTCAGCTCCTCTGTGCTGCAGCAACACACAAGTAATCTTTAGCATCTATCAATCTTTTACACGATTTGTCTGTTTCAAATGTCGCTCAAGACTTACACAATGAGGTCCCCAGTAAGGCGCACCAACGAGAGCAGAATGTGTTTGAGCGAGGAGGCTAAGGGCAATGATTGGTTGCTGAGGGTCCCCAGGTGGGCAGCCTGAATGACGCTGATGTAACTTTCCGATGGGATAGTGTCGTTGGCAAAGGCGTTCCGCTGTGGACAAAGAACCAATCAGTTTACGGTGAAGTAGTGAGAACGTATATTCACTCGAAGAGCTGAAGGATAAGCATTCTAACCCATGAGCCAAAGTTAGGGAATTCATTGGTGTGAATGTTGTTCCACGTTTCACACAATGTCTGAACAGCTGACGGCAGATTCTGCATCACAGTCTGACCTGAAAGAGTGAAAACAGAACCAAAATGGATTAGATATTCAAATTTACATAAAAGTCACTAATATCTTGATGATATTATCCAGAATTCTTACCAAGCAAATTGGCTTTGCAGCGTGTGGATCCGATGGACAACACAGCAGCATAACCCTGCAGTTTAGCTTCTGTGGGTTTGTTTTCTCCTTCTTCTGGCAGGCTCATCAGCAGGTATGACCTGAGCAAAGATATGACCAGCAAACCAATCAGGAAGGGCTTAAGAACTTGGTTTGGTTTTCTAATGTTTACTTGTGTACTTTAAAGAGATGGTTCATCCAAAAATGAAATGAAAATTAACTTCATTATGGACTCTCATGTTATTTTAAGGTTGCTTTTTTTCTTGTGGTGCATGTGGTGTAATCAGCACCTGGTGAAGGCTGTGTAGACATCAATGAGCTGCAACGTGGCGGGCAGCAGGTTTTTGGTGATCTCGGAGGATTTGTTGGGGTCTGTATCAGCAGCTACTTTGGAGAAATGCTCATCTAAAGACACTTGCACTTTGGAAATCACAGCATCCAATGTGTAGATGGTTTGTAGAGAGGGTACTTGGTGAAGAGGTAAGATGCTGTTGGGGTCCACGCAGCAAAACGACGAAATCTATGAAGGAGAGGACTTATGAGGCCATATATTAGGAGACGAGCAGAAAAATCTATATCAGCTGTTAATGGCTACTCCGAGTGTACCTGTCTGGCGATGTATTCCTCTGCGAGCTCCACATCATATTTCACTGCACTGCATTTAGCTGAGGCCACTTCGATCAGAGATGTGGCGTGGTCAGCTTTCATTCCCTGTTTCACTAGGTGATCCTGATTAAAGAGTGTTAAAGGGGTCATATGATGCGATTTCAAGTTTTCCTTTCTCTTTGGAGTGTTACAAGCTCTTGGTGCATAAAGAAGATCTGTAAAGTTGCAAAGACTAAAGTCTCAAATCCAAAGAGATATTCTTTATAAAAGTTAAGAGTCAGCCACGCCTACCTAAAACGGCTCGTTCTAACACGCCCCCACATATCTACATCACTTCTACATATCTACACACACACATGCCGCCCAAATGTGCACGCAAAGAAAGGCGGCATGGTTTCAGGAACAGCAGAAGTGTTGATGCAGCCATGTCAGGGAGAAGCTGTGTTTCAGTGCGAAAGCAAAAGCACTTGATTTGGCCTTCCGGAAGTAGATGCAATTAGGAATCATTGGTTAAGATTTATTTACAACAGAACAGCACAACCCAGATGTTCGAATTTGGACGAGTTTTTTGAACCTAGAAGAGTACAAAGCTGGCTGCTCACAAAGGTTATTTCTAAAAAAAAAAAAAAAAAATAATGATCTTTAAAATAGCATCATATGACCCCTTTAACAGATGATTGACCTTAATAACTTCAAGGAATCTTGATCAGTTGGTTATATTTTCTTAGTGTTAAAATTATAAAACTAACCTTGATCCAGTTAACGTAGGTACTGACTCGTAACCTTGATGACCATCTTAGGGTGTGCAAGATGTCGCTCTCACTGGGGTCACTGCTGCCGCTCTTAAGCTGCTCAACATAGGCCTTTGAGGGTGGCAGCACTCCCAGGATTTTCCACAGCACCAGGAAGTAGTACTGCAAGGAACATGCTTCCTGTACCAGAGATTGACAACAACATTTAGGGCAAAGGCTACCAGCGCAAACACAAGGTCGATTGTAAAAACTGCAGAATGTGTGTAACTCACTACTGGAGTGACGGGCTTGTTTTCTTGCCGTCTTGCTGTGTCAAAGCGGGATCCTGCAGCCAGCAGGGAGATCAGAGAGGAGTATAAGTCGTCATACTTTACCGCGTCATTGAACAGCACTTGGAAGGCCTGTAACAGTTGACAAAGAACATGCACATTAACTTCTTATATTAATTTTTTTTTATTTATATAGTCATAAATATAAAGCAGGAGTCTTCAAACTTTTAATGCCAAGAACCTCATGGTAAACAAAGAGACAGGATCTCAGATACATAATGTGCTGTATTAAAGCCTGGCCTATAATCGCATTTTTACAGCACCATATTAATGTGTTTGTTATTTTAATTATTATTGGTATATTAAAATAATAATAAATCAACACAATACAACTTATTGTATGATATATTTTTACATTTACATCTTGTAATGTTTCTGTGGTTTTACTTATAAAAATTTTAAATAAACATTTATAAGCATCTTTTTAAAAACATGTGTACAAATATTTGATGTTATCTCTTAAAATCAGATACAAAAACTATTATAATTAAAATAATTGTATAATTGTATTATAATAATAATAAATATATTTTTATTAATTACATTAGATTATCATTAGGGCTGTCAGTCGATTCAAAATTTTAATCTAATTAATTACATGGTGCGTTGATGAACTAATCTAACTAAATTTGGCTGTGAAAATACCCACAAAAGATTATTTAAAGCTATTATTGTGTTAAATGAGAAAGTATCAAGTAGACATTACAAACAGTAGCTATAGAAAGAAATATTTTATTTGATTCAACATAAATTACTACACATAAATGTTTAGGCTACAAGGGTCTACTGTAACAAACTACATAACTAGGGATATGCCGGTATCAAATTTTCATGTTGCGATTAATTGCTCATGCTTTACATAACATAAGATAATTTGAGAAACACCTCAGTATTTTTTGTTCATGAAATGAAAGTCACTGCCTGGTAACCAAAACAGCTTTGTTACCAACAGTCTTTGTCAGTCAGGTTTGAAATAACATGAGGGTGAGTAAATGTCAGAATTTTTTTTTTTGGTGAACTATACCTAATGTTTTATTTATTTGTTTATTTATTTTTTAATAAATTAAGTGATACTCTAAAGAAAAAACTAAAACTGTCTTTTTGAGCCATTCATTCATTCGATTCGTTCAAACGGCTGGTTCATTCAGGAATTAAGTAAACGGCTCTCTATGAATGGGCCTTTGAATCACTGGTTCACACGATTCGTTCAAAATGCAGATTCAATCAGAAACTAAACACCGCTGTGTTGCTCACAGACACACAACAGTTCTGCTGTGGCTTTATAGGTAATATTTTCGTTGGCAAAACTGAGCAAAAACACAGTATTATGTTTAAAATATAACACAATACTAACATCTTATTTACTGAACTGTTGTATAAAATAAAAAAATAAAAAATCACATTTGCACTCGTGCTATTCAAACAAACCGCACTATTGCTCTCGCTGCTCATGTGATATTGCTTATGTGATATAAATATGAGACAAATACTCATACAGGGGCATTTTTTTTTGCCCCAATATCTTGAATTTCAGGACATAACTGCATTTATGGAGTTGTTGCCCTGCATCATTTGTCAACAGTCAACTATGAAATGTAAGATGGCGAACAAGTCTGGGGGCGGGGCCAGTGCATTTACTGCTTTAAAATATTTTAATCGCGTTATTTTTTCATAACTAATTAAGATAACGTGTTAAACTGACATCCCTAATTATAATATACAAGATAATATTCTTATTTATATTAAATTATAATATACAATAATAACATATTATATAATTTCATTTAAATAAATAATAAACAAATAAATAAATATTTTGAGTAATTAAAGCAGTACACTATAAGACACTAGAAATTTCATGCCAATTTTCCAAGAAAAAGTTTGCTAAAGACCAAAATGGTTTTCTTTAACTAGGTGCACAGACACTCCCATGTCTCTAATACTTGTGCAGACTTGTGATGTGTAGCCTCACCTTGCCGTCAAGTCGACCCCTGTCATCCTCGGAGGCTTCAGGAGACAGAACGCAGTAGAATTTCGGCTGCACTGTGGAATCTAAATGAGTGTGACGACAGACATACAACAATCAAAACAGTTCTTGCACTAGATTAGCAAAGCTTACAACTGTTATAATGCAGTATGTTTGATATCGACCATCAAGTGCACAACTGAGTGAAATATAAGAGATCTGACTTACTCCTACCTGCCGAGCAGTGCTTGGCCCAGTTCTCTTCTACCTCTTTGAAACCATAATAAAGTGGGACAGCACCTCTCTTTCCTCCCTCCTGTCCTGAACTGGCCCTGGATGACAGGGGTGTCAGAAGATTGTACTGAACCTGAGTGAGCAAATAAAAAATAACTGTTACAAACTAGCTACAAAACAGTGGTATATTTCCAGTGAAAGTACAGCTACATCCGCACCTGCTCAAACAAGTACATGGGAGCTTTTGAGTACTGGTGCAGCAGGTAGTCGAACACAAGCAAGATGCGGGCCAGGTTGAGGGGTACAGCCTGGAGCTGAGAATCCACGTGGGCTGCGATTTCAGCGATGGTCTGCATGCAGAGGGTGAGGATGCTGCGGCGGCCCTTTTCAGAGAAGTTGTGAAAGATGAGCAGAAGCAGCTGAAGGTGTTCAACATTGAGGTCCTCGTCAGCAGGCACTGCTCCCTGTAGTGTGTGCTGCTTCAGAGTGCCCACAAACCTAAAAAAAAAAACACATTCAGATTGAGAAAGTTTCGCAATGTTATATGAACTTGATGCTATCACATAATATACACATGGATGAGAATTTGGTGAAGAATCCAATGCTAGATTTAAGAAAAGAGGTGTAATTCTGTAAGATTAAGTGATGTCATACCTTTCCCAGACCTTCATGCATTCTGGTACATCAGGCTCCCCCTGCTGGCTGGCTTTATGCTGCCAGATCAGCAGTAACCTGGACAGCACCGAGAGGGACTGAGGATGGATGTACATGGGCCAGGGACCCTCTGAGAACGGGGCAACACCCAATTGCTGCAGAAGAGTGTTCTGAAGAAAAGTTAAAGAAAACAAGGTATCAGATACCTGACATCTATTTAAAATGTGTCCAATTAATATTGAAATATTTTTTGTAAGCATATTTCAAAATTTACCTGTAAGGATGGAGAGGGCAGGTCTGATGTTACCAGAGAGTGATTAAAGTGATAGAGGGCTGAGGCGAACTCTTCATCAGAGGAACCTGGACAAAAAAGGTTACATGTTAGGAAAAGCCTAAATGTAAGATCAGAAATAGAGGAGTTAAAAAAAAAAAAAACCTTTGACATCTTTGTCGACATCCTTGATGATGCTGGCGAGGGTGGCCATGTGCTGCTCCGTGAGGGACACGCTCAGGTAGTTGCGAATGAAATTGTTTCTGGACTTGAGCATGGAGGTGGTGATGAAGTTCAGTATGCTTGAGGCCAAACTCAAAAACTGGAAGAAACAACGTCTCTTTAGGTCAACATGAAAACTTCACTCATGCAATGTGAAGTAAATAAATAAAATAATATACAAAAATAATTATACATTACTGAAAAATAATATATAATATATAAAAATTATAAATAAATAAAAAATGGGGGAAAAAATACATGTATTTAAGTCAACATGAAACAGCAACCCATTTCTGTCATCATGTCATAAATAAATAATAATAAAAAAATATTAAAATAATTATAAAAATATATAATTATATAAAAAAAATAAT